TTGAGAAAAATCCTGTTGGTCTATTCCTGATTACTCAGACAATTCTTTGGATATTAATGTCAGCAAGTCCTTTTCTGTTTCTCCAATAACATGAGACTTTCTTATGCCACACATTGATAACATGGATTCTTGAAGGTAGTAAGAAATGGATGGAAATAGATGATCTTTAAGATGTTGCATTCCCACTTTGTTATTCTCTGATGAATTTCCAGCTGCTTCCAGAATACTCAATAATGCAGATTTTTCACTAGTGCTAATTCAGTAGAGTTAAAAATGTAAGTGTACTATTAGTTTCCGTTTTATGCTGTTACCTTCAGCCTCTTGGTCAATTGGCTTGGTCCTTGGTCAAAAGGAAGGAAATATTCACAGGCAGAATTACATGGAAGTTGTGCTAGATCACATGGTTGTGCAAAAGGTCACACAAAAGGATTGTGCAGTGGAAACCTCAAGCCTGTGACATGTTGCAAAAGAGGATAGAGTGTTTCAGAAAGTAGAGCCGCTTCTTCAATGTTCTGCACATGCAATAACACTTATACAACTCTGTCTTGGATATGGCTCTTCTCTGGTTCCCCAGAAGGCACATCTGCTTGTGCAATGGTTCTTTATCATGTTATATTATGTGCCATCAAGTTGATTTCAACTTAGGGTGACCCTAATAGGGTTTCCAGGCCATGTGAGAGAGATACAAGGAGTGGTTTACTGATACATCACCCCCCCCACCAGTGAGTTTCCATGGGATTTGGGCCCATGTCTTCTGCATCTTGTTCCACTATACATTAGCATAAGTCCCCAACAGGATTCTGTCCATAATTTAGAACAACATGAATTTGACCCAACTCCGGGAGGCAGTGGAAGACAGGAGGGCCTGGTGTGCACTGGTCCATGGGGTCACGAAGAGTCGGACACGACGAAACGACTAAACAACAACATAACTCACTCATTTGTTCATGACCCTGATCTAGCTCTAAAGCTATTTTATCTTGCCAAGTTTAAATACTAACTGTTATCTGATATTCTGTGAAATTCTAGGCCAGCTTTCCTTAACCTGATGCTTTCTAGATATTTTAGATTTGAATCCCACTATTCCGCCACACTGGAGACAGCTGCTCTTGAGAAACATTAATGGATTGGAAGAAATAATGATATTTTAACCTTGAATATTGTTCTTTTCTTTTGAATTTGTATTTAGCACTCTGGGAACATGCCTTTCACAGCTGTGAAGTTATTACTGCTAGATGGCACCCATTTTATTATAGAGCCTGAAAGCATCAATGTGTGTGGTATCTTGTGGAGAGGAAGTAGTTGCAATAGTGGGGAGCTGGCATAGTTGCTAGGCCCAATGACAGTTCTTTGGGCCTAAAGAGGGTTTTGTGGCAGGCAGAAACCTTGGGTGGCATATGCTTCACAAAGTGGAAGACAGTGCAAGATCTTGTGAAGCCTGGGGGCCTTGCAGTATTTCACAGCCAGCTTCTCACAGGTCTTCCTGATCTCACAATACTTTGGTGAGTCTTTTGAAGATCCTGCTTAAAGGGGAAGAATGGTATTGTTGAATGCTACTGCAATAGCATCTACCAAGCTTGATCTTTCCTATTTTTATGCCATGGCACATTTGCTTCCTTCTCAGCACCATGCACTTTTGGCCTACAGAGGACTTCCTGGATTGGCCTCCAGCTCCAAGAACCTAGAAGCTTGACTTGAGGTTCAAAAGGAAGGAAAGCACTGAGAAAAAGCTTGATTTGGAGAGGAGAACCAAAGGATCACAGTAGAAATTAATCTTTCATACTCCTGCATCTCCTTTCACTGCAGCCGCTTTCCTGTATGGCACAGCAAACACAGACACATAGGATGTACACATATCTAGTTGGTATAAAAAGGATGCAGAAAAGAAGAGGTGGTAGAGGAGAGATTAAGCAAGCCCTCACCTTTTACTCATTCCTGTATATCTGTTTGGGGACAAATATTGCAAGGTTTCAGGCCAGAAATATTTAATGATATCCTTACTAATCAACAGATGTTAATGAATGCCAAGAATCTAACCCCTGTCACCAACGCTGCTTCAACACCATTGGAAGCTTCCACTGTGGATGTGATCCAGGATATCAGCTAAAGGGTAGAAAATGCATGGGTAAGAATAGCATATAGAAGGGAGCTGAATGTGTTTTTCCTCCATTTCTATCTGTTGGAACACAGTTTCCCTGCTACTAATCTAGAATGTGCTGATACTGTATATTTGGTTCACAGATCAGCAACGAAACTCTCCAAGTCCATGCTACTCCAATTAGTGTGTGTATTTTAAGTTTAACGTGCTAAACATTTTTGGTTGTTGTGGGTTTTTCGGGCTCTTTGGCCATGTTCTGAAGGTTGTTCTTCCTAACATTTTGCCAGTCTCTGTATCCGAGCTTGTTTCAATTTACCTTGAAGTGCAGTGGAACACGTCCAGAACATGTAACAGTGCAGTGGATTTTAGCCTTAATCTATATAACATGGTAAGAAAGAGACAAAGATTGGTACAAAGCAAGTAGACTACTGCTTGAGCAAAGCCTGAATTTAATCTGTAGGCATCCCTATTGCCAGTGGAAGTCCTCTTCCATCTTTTCTCAGCGTTTCCAATTTGTGCCTTGGTTTGTCCATGCTTTATACATAGATTGATCATATTGAATAACTTTGCTGTACACAGAACTGATAACCTGTCAACACCTAGTTGTAAATCTGGTAATTTTTTGTAATTCAAATGTTGCATATTTATACATTAATGCCAGCTGATGGAATGAAAGAGCAGAGATCTAAACTCAATTAGGAATCCAGAGTATACATTTTTCAGACATCATAATTTCTAAATCAGTTCTGCTGCAGTGAGATAGACGCTGGATGATCATCTTGAGTATTTGAAGTTGAAAGGACTAAAATTCCTTTGCCTAAGCAGCAAAGCATGCTTCTGCAATGGGCAAACTGGAAGTGTGTTTTTGCAGGCCTACCAGCACATGGGAGAGCAAAGACAAAACAAGACTGCTCTTACATGAGGAAGATATGTATCTAATTAGTTTAGCTATTTTTAACCTTCTGTCTTTTTAAAGATGTGAATGAATGTAGGCAAAATGTGTGCAGACCTGACCAGCTCTGCAAGAATACGCGGGGTGGCTATAAATGCATTGATCTGTGCCCAAATGGAATGACCAAAGCAGAAAATGGAACATGCGTAGGTATGTATGCTTCGTTTATCATATTGTTTGCAAAGACTGCAGCAGTGAATCAGATGACACCCAGCTGCTTCAGAAGGGTCTTTCTTTTTACACCCCATTCATGAATCTCAGTCATGAACAGCTTCTTCTGTATTCTAGACATGAATGCCACCCACAGACATCAGTGTAGGTCTGTGATGGTTACAACACACAAACAAAGGAGAAGAGAGCTAATACTTTCTTCTCTGCTTGCTTTCTCTCAGTCTTCCTCATTCCTTGTTAGTGAAGAAGGCATGTTCTTTACAGTGGAAGGATGACAGGAATCAGGTTGGGAAAAAGATTTTGGGGACATTGTAAATGAGCTTTATGTGAAAAGAAAGAATTGCATACTCTTAAATTTCTGTACACGAACAGTTACCTTTAAGAGTTTGTGTTCCTTGTCAGATATTGATGAATGCAGAGATGGCACTCATCAGTGCCGATACAATCAGATATGTGAAAATTCACGAGGAAGCTACCGGTGTGTGTGTCCAAGAGGTTTCCGGTCCCAGGGCGTTGGAAAACCCTGCATGGGTAAGCTGGAGACAAGAAACAGTGCTTGTCTTCTACCTTTTTTGGTTCTACCTATGCTGTACTAATGATTAAAGATGCTAGAGTTCTTGGAAATCAGCAGTTTCTACAGCAGGGGTGGGCAACATACAGCGTGTGGGCTCTGTGCAGCCCCCAGCAGGCTCAAACGCAGGCTCCTGAGATGCCCCCCTCCCATTCAGCTAAAATTTGAAAATCCCTTTGCCCCAAAAGTTCTCTCCTGCCTTCTAGGGGGCTTGGGAGATGATTTTGCCATGCTTTGAGGGTTCCTAAAACCCCTTAAATGTTATTTTTAAATGTATTTGGGGGTACTAGGAGGTGCAAGGAGGCTTTTTTCAGCAAAAAAAAAAAGTATATAAGGAAAACAATGGGGACCCTGCTTAAGAGAAAACTATTTGGCACTCTAACCTCTCTTACTGAGTCTTTCTAAGAGTAGCAAATTTCAAACACAAAGCACAGCAATTCCGGTAAATGCAGGAGGTAAAAGTAATCTTTACTATACTAGAGAAAGTATCGTATGGGAAACTCGATTGCACTTTGGTCAGCTTGTGGAGCAGTCTGGTGCAGTCTGTTTCCCAGAGAAGACACAACATACAGGAAGTAGTGCACTGGTCCAACCCTCATCTATGCCCAGCTGTTTGGACTACCGCTTTTTGGGTTTGGGGCAATTACCTGACAGATGGAAGGGTTGCTCCCTGCAAAGTGACTCTTTCTGGTGTTTCCTTGTGCACACTTTACCCACTGTCTGATCTTACCCTAAGCTTGCATGTATTAAAAAAAAGGCAGTACATTTTACAAAATGCATATTGCAGTACAATTGATTCAGGACAGTTCCTAATTCTGCATCATCATCATCAT